TCAAGAAAAAAAAAAGCAAGAAAAGAAAATGCTCTCATCCAAAAACAATCCCCAGCATATTCAGTTATCAGACACGACTTAAACTTCAAATGGGACTGGCTTCTATGGTCAGATGTAACTAAAAAAAATTGCTTTTTAGCAACAAACACTCATGATGGCTTTGGTGCACACAGGGATAAAAAGTACCCTATGTGTACAATGAAATGTAGTGCTGTATTTTTAATGTTGTGGGCCTATATTTCTGCTGGAGGTCCTGGACATCTTGTTTAGATACATGGCATATTTGATTATATCAAATACCAACAGATAAAAAATAAAAAATTGACTGAAATCTTATAATGGGCCATGTTTGGTTCTTCCAACCGGACAATAATCCAAAAACAAACCTTAAAAACAACACAAAAATGGGTCACTGGGCACAAAACCAAGCTTCTGCTATGGCCATTCCAGTTCCCTGACCTGAACCCTATAGAAAATGAGTGTGGTGAACTGAAGAGGAGAAGCACCATCATGGAGCTGGGAATCTGAAGGGTCTGGAGAGATTCTGGATGAAGGAATGGTCTCTGATCTCTTATCAGGTGTTCTCTAACCTCATCAGGCATTATAGGAGAAAACACAGAGCTGTATATATATATATATATATATATAAATTAACTTTAAAGATAAAAAAAATTTATTCAGAAAGTAATAAAAATTAAGAATTTTAAAAACAAAATAATAAAACATACATAAGTTAAAAAAATACTAAAATAAAATCAAAATGATAAGAATATTGTCTTTTGTCTTTAAATATAAAAAAATAAGTGAGTACATCCAGTACACCTTGACTCAGAAAAATAGCAAACAATTGTAAATAAATGAATTCAAAATTATAAATAAATTCAGATTTTAATTGCTTTTTAGCAACAAACACTCAAGATGGGTTTGGTGCACACAGGGATAAAAAGTACCCTATGTGTACAATGAAATGTACTGCTGTATTTTTAATGTTGTGGGCCTATATTTCTGCTGGAGGTCCTGGACATCTTGTTTAGATACATGGCATATTTGATTATATCAAATACCAACAGATAAAAAATAAAAAATTGACTGAAATCTTATAATGGGCCATGTTTGGTTCTTCCAACCGGACAATAATCCAAAAACAAACCTTAAAAACAACACAAAAATGGGTCACTGGGCACAAAACCAAGCTTCTGCTATGGCCATTCCAGTTCCCTGACCTGAACCCTATAGAAAATGAGTGTGGTGAACTGAAGAGGAGAAGCACCATCATGGAGCTGGGAATCTGAAGGGTCTGGAGAGATTCTGGATGAAGGAATGGTCTCTGATCTCTTATCAGGTGTTCTCTAACCTCATCAGGCATTATAGGAGAAAACACAGAGCTGTATATATATATATATATATATATAAATTAACTTTAAAGATAAAAAAAATTTATTCAGAAAGTAATAAAAATTAAGAATTTTAAAAACAAAATAATAAAACATACATAAGTTAAAAAAATACTAAAATAAAATCAAAATGATAAGAATATTGTCTTTTGTCTTTAAATATAAAAAAATAAGTGAGTACATCCAGTACACCTTGACTCAGAAAAATAGCAAACAATTGTAAATAAATGAATTCAAAATTATAAATAAATTCAGATTTTAAATATTAAAAAATTAATCAATATATTCTGTATGCCTGAACTGTACTGAACCTGAGCTAAGTCAAACATATCTAGCATTTTTTGAATGTGCAAGACATCTACTGTTGAAGGAGATATTAAAAGGCTGCAACATCTGAATCTAAACTATCACAACAAACAAAATATATGCAGATCTGAGGTTCACAGCTTGAGCAAAGGAACAACTAAAACAGCCATTGTCAGCAACACCCGCTCCTGGTAAGACGTGTCCCTATACACACACACACGCATTATCACTTTACTGAAATAATGAGTCCTTAAAACAACACCCACCTACGTGCTGTTACATGAAACTATGTGTATTTAGATACTTGTGGGAAATGTAGAAAAACTCAAAATGAAGCCAGCGTGATAGGATACAGTGAAATTATTTGATGCCAGGCACAGACAGAAGGAAACAACAAGAATGTAAACACAACAAACAAACAAAACTGAAATGAAGTGCAGCACAAGTGTCTAATAAATCATTTAACTTCAGAACTGACATTAGAGTTTAAGCCTTTGCAACCACAGAAACACATTTACTTTAAGGTCAACATCCTATAGGTATTAGCGGGTATGTTGGTATTTCATGCCACAAAACTTCATCACGTTACCAGCAGGTATTTCCTGGTTCATAGCAGACAACTTCCTATATGTCCTTAAATGAAATTGAAACATTCAACCCTTGATGGATGCCAGAAAATAGCCAAATTCTTAAGACAAACTGCTGTCTTATGTCATAGCAGGACATTTTTTTAATAAAGCTATAGAAGCTGCAGCATCAGCAAAACCTTTAATCAGCACTTACTTGAATGTACGCTCAAGCTTTGGCCTATGTGAAATCCATGGCCACCTGCAAACCAAACAAAACAGAGAAACAAACAGTGATTACAGCGTTCTGTACGACTTCTTTCACAATCTAAACATGCTTCTGATGTTCTCGGCTGGCGCATGGGGCTTCACGGTTTGGTCATGGCACTAAACTGTACAGCCCAATGGACCATAATGAACGTATCTTCTTTTTTGTGGAAAATCCATGTCCTCCTCTTACTGAAATTGGTGGAATTCCCCTAATGGTGGCCAGTTTCAGAGGAGAGAAACCCCACACTTTCAGACCAGACTGGTTTTGTTACTCTTAAGACTCTGGAAAGTGGAAAAACTGAAAAAATAAAAATAAAATTCTGCAGAGTTGAAAAATTATTTCAACACTTCTGTATGAATTCAACACTGTGAATAAATAATAGATATGGAAAAAGTGTAGGTTGTTAAGAGTACAAGAAGAGTGACTCAAAACAACAACCATCAAACCATCTCCAAAAGATTTAGACTTTATGCCGCCACATTTTACTTGAGAGATGCACATTTTTGCTTTTTCTTCTTCTTCTTTTTGTTTTCACAAAACAAAATGCATTTGAACCCTAATCTGAAAATCCCTGAAAACATAATCTGTTTTATCATTGAATACATGGAAGTAGCCACACAATAAAGACAAAGCGCAAATTCACCAAAAATTCACCACTTTAGCACAAAAACTTGTATTATAGACCCTGTTTACACAGATATTCAACTCAATCTCCAACTATACAATTACAAGTTGACAGCTGAAATTAATTGCTATTTTTAACTGCTACCATTATCTATACTGCTAACTGGTATTTTCTTTTTAAAATTGTATGTAAGCAGTAGGCCTGGGTGTTGACACAAAATTCACAGTTAGATTTGAGTTCTATTCAAAAGCTTGCGATTACATTAGATTAGATTCAATTATAATTTTGATTTGACTCGATTCAATATTGATTATTTTGGATATATTTCAAGTACATGGCAAATTTTCTCAAGGAAAAAAACTAAAATAATGCTGTAAAATATACATGAGTCAGCTATACATTACAATATTGGGATTTAAAATGAACTGATTTGTATACAAACACTTAAATTACACTCAATGAAGTTACAATAGCCAGCTAACTTTACAATTAAATATTCCTACTCCAATTCATTTTTTTTTAAAATATAAACATTTAAACGGTGGCTGTCATAAAAACTTGACATACTTATTCAAAAATAAATTAAATACCGAAGAACAGTAAAATATTATAATGAATATATCAAAATGCTCCTCTCTAGTTCATTTTTCTAGCTGACTAAAGAGTTTATAGTCACAGAATATATTTTTTTCTGAGGTAAATGTGACGTTATGTGACATGTGACAGGATACGGATTTCATTCAGTTCTACTCTTTCTTTTAACATACCTTCGGATGTTCATTCAAGTTTATTTCATGCTGAAAAAGCTGAGGAGATGATCAGTTCACGCGCACTTAGTCTCTTGATCTGAGGCGCTACAGCAATCTTTCACTCCACATCAAACATGCCAAAACGGTATTGTTTATTTGAATATTATGATAAACTGGACAGAATCTGAAACCTGAGACTTTTTGTTTAATTCAGAAGTAACAAATTACAAAGCTTATTGCGATTTATTGGACGGGAGGCACACTACATTATTCCGTTCCTTAAATAAAAACAGGCTAGACTAATCGATTCTTGGGATTTAAGAAGCAGTATCGATTCGTAAAAATGAGACTTGAATAAAATTAAGAAATCGATATGTAGTCCTAGTAAGCAGTAAAGTTTAAAATCTCTTTCCAGCTAACAGAGAAGCTAATGTTCTCTCAATCTGAATAAACTTTGAGAGACTGTTAAAATAATCTCCATTTAAAGTTATCTGGTCTTTAAAAAAATTCTCAAAATGCTAACACCAAAACGTTGTTTATGTATCTTTCAGAGAACATTCAAAAGTAATGTTCCCATAATGATTGCTAAAATATACAGTTCCCTTAACAGTTTCTCTAACGTTTGCATAACCAAGAAAAATTTTTTAGAGAACATTCAGAAATAATTAGCGAAATGTTCTTAGAACATATTTTTGTTAGCTGGGTTCAGCGCATTGGTTGATTGACAGGTGAGTAGACAGTTCTTCAGTGTTGTGTGGGACCCATCAAGACTGATTAGTCTAGCCCACCTAGGAGGAATGGAAAGAAAGTAGGCAAGAAAGAGCAAATGTGAGAGTCCCAGCACACGAGGAGGAAATAAGGGGTGAGGGGGAAACAGTCGCATCCCTAAAGCTACTGAGATGTGAAGTTGTCAAAACACATATTTCAATGTGAACAAAGTGAGCAAGGAGTACGCATACAAAAGCGTGTGAATGGGCAGATGTCTGGAGCAGATCCCAGGCTTCAGACTCTCAGGAAACTCAGGAGATAAATGATGTGAGACTAAAGTTCTTCCATTGTTCCTTTTGCATTTAGAAGCAGCGCTATTATAACCCCAAAATGTCTTTGAAACTTGAGTACTTAGTGTGTATGTGCCATTGAATCATGCTTCTAGGGGGCTTTCAATGAAACCACCTGATTTGATAGTGAAAAGACAGATGAAGACAATTTCCTTTTTCATTTATACATAACACAGGTGGTCAATTGTGAAAAGAGAATTGTTATTGATTCAATACTGAATCAAGTTCAGGTGCTAATGTGGTTGGAAAAAAAACTTTAAGTTGTGTTTTGGATGTTACCAGTTGACAGCATTTTGTGGCATAATAGTTTGGACTTTTCCCTAGTTTTCTTTAATAGTAATAATAAAAAAAGATTACATATACCGTATTAAATTTTAAAAAGCTGTAAATAAAGCAGAGATTATTGGAGTATGTTTTTACAAAAACAGTCTTTTCTACTTCAAATACTTCAAACTATGTTATATAAAAATAGTATAATTTGAGCTGTAAAGCGCTTTAACAATTTTTAATCATTTTTGGTGGTTATGGTGTTATTGCAGAGTGTGTAATATTTTGGAAATAACTTCAGAAAGTTATTTTAGAAAAGGTTAGTAAGCAATTTTATCACACTAAAATCGTGCTATCACACACGTAAAATAGTATTTTAACATTAACATATTGGCCACATTCACTTACATTGTTAGTGCTTCACTGCAAACCATACTGTTGCTTTTTTGTAAAGTGTGGGGGGGGGGGTCACCCTGTTAGGGACTGTCATTGTCAATCGTACAGAAGCGTATGTGTGGTTTGTGTTTCATGTAGCACCGCCATAGGTGTGGCGTAAGTGCATGTTTCTGCCTGAGTGCTGACTTAGGGCTGAAATATCTGCACCCTCCTGTTGCAGGAGTTCCCACAGTCTGTGCACCGCAAGAGATGTGACCTTCTGATATATGTAAATGTTACTCTGTCAGTGTTAATGAAACTTATAAGACAATGCATGATGTTTTTTTTTTACTTCTTGTTATGCCGCTGTGGTGTGATGTGCATATGTGTGTATGTGACTGCTGACTCGTGCTTTTTGTACGTGTGTGTGTGACTGCTGACTCATGCTTTTTGCTTGAGAAAAGCAGCATCTAGTTGCAGCAGCAAAGAATGTGACTGAAGGCTCTCCCACAGCAAAGTTGGTCATCAACATATGCTGTGTTTTAGTTAATGATGGGTATCAATCCTTGGTTCGATTCCAACTGCACTTAATGATTCTGGTTCATTATTAATTCCTTGAAGAAGCAATCATTTGTCTTAAATTTTTTGAACTGGTGTGCATATACAGGTGCATCTCAAAAAATTTGAATATGGTGAAAAAGTTCTTTTTTTGTAACTTATTTCAAAAAGTTCAAAAGTAAATTCATTACATGTAAAACATTTCAAAACTTTTTTTGTTTTAATTTTGATGATTAGAGCTTACAGCTCATGAAAGTCAAAAATCCAGTATCTCAAAATATTAGAATATTTCCTAAGATCAATCAAAAAAAGGATTTGAAAAACAGAAAAGTTCAAGTTCTTTAAAGTATGTTCGTTTATGCACTCAATACTTGGTCGGGTCTCCTTTAGCACAAATGACAGCATCAGTGAGGTGTGGCATGGAAGCGATCAGCCTGTGGCACTATTGAGCCTTCAGCTCGTCTGTATTGTTGGATCGACTGTTTCTCATCTTTCTCTTGAAAATATCCCATAGATTCCATATGGGGTTCAAGTCAGGCATGTTGGCTGGTCAATCAAGCACAGTAATATCATGGTCAGCAAACCACTTGTAAGTGCTTTTGGCACTGTGGGCAGGTGATAAAGTCTTGCTGGAAAAAGAAATCAGCATCTCCATAAAGCTTGTCAGCAGATGGAAGCATAAAGTGCTCCAAAATCTGCTGGTAGATGGATGCATTGACTTTGGACTTGATAAAACACAATGGACCAACACCAGCAAACGTCAAGACACCCCAAATCATCACTGACTTCGGAAACTTCACACTGGACTGCAAGCAGCTTGGATTCTGTGCCTCTCCAGTCTTCCTCCAGACTCCAGACCTTGATTTCCAAATTAAATGCAAAATTTACTTTTATCTGAAAAGAGGACTTTGGACCACTGAGCAACAGTCCAGTTCTTTTTCTCCTTAGCCTAGGTAAGATGCTTCTGTTTCAGAAGTGGTTTGCTAGCCCTTTTCCTGAAGATGTCTGAGGGTGGTACTCAACAGAGAGTCATAAATTAGAACCTAAAGTTTTCATCTGCAAACTGCCTTCTCTATTGTTTTATTTGCTTCATTGCAACAAATAAGCAACATTTGAATGAGAATGAAAAAACAGAATACAAATTCCGAATTAATACAAAATTGGAAAACTTGTGATTGAATGAAAGGAAGGCAATTTAAGTTGATACATTTATATGTGAAAAGTAAGTTGGGCAAAACAGAATGGTGTAATCACAATACAGATAAAATAACTTAAAGAAAACTTTATGTAGGCCAAAATTATACATCAGCTCTTGAGGATTACTGCTACAAAGCAGTATAAACAAATAAACATGACAGC